GGAAACTAGACACACACAGTACGCGTCGGTATGTGGATCGCCTCCAGAATCCCTCTGGTTCGATCGGAATTCCTCTCTGAACCCGAATGATCGCAGATAACAATCTGCACAGACCCATCGAGTTCAAACAGCCATAACTCAGTGAACAATCAACCAAAAGACGAACCGTTTTCACCTATAACACGAGTAGAGATTGGAGAACTTACCCCCCCCCCCCCCAAAATACTCCAATTCACCTCGAAAAGCCCAGCCGTTAGCCCTCTCAAAGTTCTAATTCGAAACTGTCCCTCTCACACAATCACCTAGATCCTTTCTCAACCCTTTTCTCTCTGGTTCTTTACTCAAAAGCGGCTAAACAGACCAACACACGGCTTCCCCATCTGCTTTTATAATAACCCTAGGTTTTCCCTAACCATCACGCAACCCGTGCGATCAAACCCGACTTCCCGGTCTGATTAAAGATTTGCGTCGTTCGACGCACCTCCCCTGCGTCGCTCGACGCACCACCAAAAATACACATTTTGGTTCATGGGCGTTACAAGAATGGTGTAGGCGTAGACGAGAGAAGGTCTCCAACACACGATGGCATATGACGTTGATATTCCAAAAATTGTTCGATGAGATTAGGAAATGCTAGATGGGAAGCATTGTTTGCTTTAAGACTGAGAAAGATTTCATCCACTACAAGGGCACCAAAGTTGAACGGAGTGTTGGTGACAATAATGTAGATCAGGGTTGCCCGTTCCTTTGTGATGACCATCTCATCCATGGTTGGCATCCAGTTGTGACAACAGATCTTATACAGTCAGGCCATCATGGGACTGAGGTGAGCAGGAGTCAGATCCTTCCATTTTGATACCGCATCCTCAGAGAGCAGAAAGAGAATGTCTGTAAGTGGAGCAGTTGGTTGAGCAGAGAGACAATGTCTGTAGAATTTGAGAGAAGCTTGTATAGTCAAGAGAAGGAGAGATGAAACAAAAAACAGAGTTAGAGAAGTCTATGTCTGACTACAACATCGCTCTCCATCTCCTTTAAAGATAAGAATCCATGTAGTACTACACACTTAACGAGAGACGATATTTTAGTGAACAGTATGCCTTTTTTTTCAAGACGAGGCCCAAAGTAATCAGTATTTTGACCCATTAGTAAACACAAGGCCTCACGGCGCCATTAGAAGTTGAGTCAACTAAAGACAACAAAACATATTTTAGCTAAGTGATACTAGAATTATCTTATCACTGATGATGAAGGATGCAACAAAAGTTGACCGAGAATTATAAGGCAGCGGAAGMAAATTAAAATAAATGAGAAACAAAAGAAAATCGATTTACCAATTCTTGAAGGATACACACACACACATTGTTATCAAGTTACCATGCCATTTTTGAGTAGAAAGAGATTCAACTCACCAGTACACTGAGGTAGCTATTTCTCATAGAGTAGCTTTCACATTCAGTGATCAACACATATTAGACTTCACATCAGCATACATGTTCGGAGTTAAGAAGGAAACAACTCAGAAGAGACGAAAAGAGGCAATGATGGCCTTTGGTTAGATACCCCCCCCCCCTTTTTCTTAGAGAAGGCAACAAGTCAAGACTTTTCTCTCCTTGTGTAAACCCCCTTTTTTGTTTCAGGTTAGGACTTTTCTCCCCCTGTGTTATACCCAGTATTTCTCCCCCCTAGATTTTCTTTGACAACCTTTTTGGTCATCTTTTCTATTTTTTTGATTGGATTCAGAATCGATTCCCAAGAGATCAGAGAAGATAAGCAAAAAGAGAAAAAGACAAAAATATATGAAGGTCGAACATGTATGATGAGTAGCTCTTTCTCTGTAGTGACTTACCAATGGGAGGTTTTTATGGGTTGTTCAGAACATGGGTGAAAAAGCACCTGATGATTAATAACACTATATGTGACATATATCCTTCAAAGATTAGATCATAAA